TTGTTAGTAAAGTATTGCATATACACACGTACACACATAATACAATTATAATATATATCATGAATTGTATATTATATTATATTATATATTACATGTATATTATATGTACCGGTATGTATATGTATATAAACGAAACGTCAAAAGCCAATCTGACTAGGAATGCGAAAACTAAACAAATTAACCTCGATTGAGACTCTAAGCCAGAACTTTTCTCATAAACGGCTAATGTCATATCACAAAAGAGCTTTCAATCGGAATGGTATGAGGCCAAACTTGTGTACTCTTAGAATTCCCATTATGGCTTGCTAGTAAAAGTATTGAATATATAAGTACACACACGCACACACATAATATAATTATAATATATATTATGAATTATATATTATATTATAATGTATAATGTATATTATATGTATGTATATGCATATAAACGAAACATCAAAAAGAAATCTGAATAGGGATGCGAAAACTAAACAAATTACCCTCAATCGAGACACGAACCCAGAACTTTTCTCTTCCACGGCAAATGTCATACCACAAAACAGCTTTCAATCAGGATGGCACTTTGATTAACTTCAAAATCCTTCGTGGTAAATCAAAGCGCCAGTAGCGATTGAAACCATTTTCCTTACTTTATCAGGGGCGGATCCATAAGTTTTCAAAGGGGGTTTGGAGAGGGGTGGCACAGCAGTCTCAGAATATGTATGTGAGTAGCACATAACATTGATTTGCATTTGACAATTTTAAAATTTAATGGCAAAACGGTGGGGGTGGGGGGAGCACGTGCCCCTGTTCCCCCTACGAGATCCTCCTCTGTTTGTTGTACCTGACGTACTGCCGGAATAGCACAAATTTTGTTTATGCACGTATTATGTGCTTGCTTAAAATATTATCAGTCGCTGTGATCATAATGTCTTTAATAAATAACTATACATAAAATAATGTACATCAACACTTTGTTCCGTTGTTTCATTTCAGTATCCACGTGGAATTGACAAGATTACAATTACATTGATTTTAGACAGTAAATTGTGCTAGAACACATGTACACTCAGCATCGCCAAATTTGTTATTTTTGTTCTTTTAAACACTTTGTAACTACATTGCATAACAATGTGATAGTGATGCGTTTACATTAGCCGAGCTTAATAGTGCTAAGTCTACAACACATATATTTTTGTGTCTAAATGTGCATTGTCCGTACCAGTGTAAACGTGTGCTCATAATGTGGTTTCAATATTATTTGAAGCACCGCCCTTGGGTTCATTTTTGGTAACACCAGACGCGCCTAGCAAAGGCAATTCGCCGTTTGGTTGCAACATGTTCATGGCTACATCATAACACGGAGGCGGGGAAGCATGAATGGCGGTTGTTAACTCTTGGCTGCCAATTGGAAGTGTAGTTGGTCGTGCGATCGCTATCGGCGAGCCCTCGTCGCCGGCGCCGTCGGGTGAAAGCAGTGAAAGACTCTCGTGATGTTGATTTCGCTTATTACCACGGGTTCTTTTTGACCTTACTGAATGACGCAGAGACCTGCGATCCAGTTCATCTGCGGGCGCAGTTAACTTACATAATTGAGTGTCGGAAAACGTCTTTCTTTTCAGAGCTTTCGAATGCCGTCGTTTATTTTCGTCTTCAGATGACATGAAAGCCCCGAGAGTGTTGCAAATAAAAGATGAAATATCTCTAGTGAGACGCCTATTCGCATTCATATCCTGACTTCCACCGTCATGAAGACTCAAGTGTCCTTGCGAGGAGCGGAAGACCTGCCCATTCATAGTCGTACTACCGTAAGAGTTATTATTGCCCATGGCATACGCTGAACTAGATCGAATATTTCGTATAGATCGTGATCGTCCATTGGCACTAGTGGCTCCACGGCCTGCATTCACAGCATCCATTAGCAATGCTTCTGAGTAGCTTGGAATCACGTGTTTGTTATTTCGTATAGTCTGCTCCATGCTACTTTCGCTACTTACTGTGATGTCACGTGGTATAGTCCGGTTTCTCCCCGGCCGTAGCCGATCATTCGGATAGGTAAATGCAAAGTTGGTTCCAAAGATCTTTTCTACTTGGTAATGAACATGCGCGATTTTATATTCTATCAATACACGATATGGCCAAGAGAGAAGAACAAGTGATAGCGTCCAATAAACACAAAGATTAAAATACCAAGGAAGTTTATCTGAATATGCGTATGAAACAGTTTCGTCGCTGAAATCAATATCTGTTAAACTCAAACCTTCTCTTGTCTCCATATATTCATCTCTGCCATCATTGTCATTAAAGAACCTAAACCGTTGAGAAAGATACTCATTTTCGGCCTGTACGTTCGCAAAAATGAAAGTCTTCGAGAAAACCACCTGCGTCATGCAATACTCTTCCAAACCAGTGAGGTTCTTTGAAACGTCCTTCACGCCAATGTCACTAAAATCAAAAGCACTTGCTGCAGAGTGAGTATTAATCCGTTCAATATACTCTTGCGTACTCGTGTACGAATCTCCATAGCGATACCGTGTTACATGACGTGTGTGGCGGGCGTAGTGGTAGGAAATAGCCCGCCACCACACAACGGGATACGCTTCACGCATTTGAGTAATTCGTTCGTATACAACTCCGATTTTCTCGCGGTACTGTAAAGCCATTCGCACATCGCAATACCAACACTCCACAAAGTATACAAGGTATAAAAGAACCAGAAAAGCAATAGGTATGTAAAGGTAGCCATCTTCACATGGACTACCACGTTTGCTATAAGATCTTCCGGTAATTTCGTCTATCATGTCGTAGTCCACCAGTTTTGTCTCGCACCAGCCGACGACAGCAATGCTCCCACCCATCAGTGCTGTCAAGATGAAACATTTCCAGTGTGTTTCTCGTCGCAATGACGAACAGCATCCATGTTTTGAGGGAGTTTGCTGAAAGACATAAAGAAATAAAACAAACATAACTATTCGATAAGCAATTAAATAGCATTTTTTGAAGCCAATAAGTATTTCGAGCAGCAGAGGTAAAGCCGGGAACCGGTGGTGTAGTCGGCCGACGCGATTCCATTGATAACCTTTTAGGCTGCCGACGACGATCAGCAGACGCGTCGTTTCGACAAGCTTTAAAAATGAGCGGAGATTTGTCAGCCAGGTTATCGTACGCAGAACATCTGCCCGGTGTTTTTTTATTATTTTAATATTATATTTATTGTATTTAACTGTGTCTTCACTCTTTTTTAACTTTTTTTTTAAACCAGAAGGCCTATACTTAACGTTTTCTAACTTACATAGGCCTAGGTCTCCTTCCGCACTTTTTTAAGTGTGGAAAACTGAGCTGAACCAAACTGAGTATGTCCGACTTTAGGCTCTGAGCTTTCAAATCGGAACGTTGAGAACTTGCCATATGGCCGGTGTATGTTACGAAAATTCAGGTTCCAATTCGAAGTTATGTTCCAGACCCCACTTCTCGTCTACACCAGCTCATTGAACAATTAATTTTATCGTTACGTATGCATATATTCACCAGGAGTATAAATGGAAAACTGGCAATGTGAGTGATTTGGAAAGAAATTGCTGAATTAACTGCACAGCCGTGAATGCTCTTCCTGGGAAAGGAGAAAGTTACACAAATGAGCGATGGATTCTGTATCGAAAGGGAAACATGTGGTAGGTTATGAGCTGTCTCTTATACACATCTAGATGTGTATAAGAGACAGATATTATATTATATATTACATGTATATTATATGTACCGGTATGTATATGTATATAAACGAAACGTCAAAAGCCAATCTGACTAGGAATGCGAAAACTAAACAAATTAACCTCAATTGAGACTCTAAGCCAGAACTTTTCTCATAAACGGCTAATGTCATATCACAAAAGAGCTTTCAATCGGAATGGTATGAGGTTTTTTCGTTTTTTATTGATTTTCTTTGAAATTCACAATCAATGTGGTGTGTGCGACCATGGAGGAATTAATTCTTCCATGGTACGACCGTAACAAACGTATCCAAATAAAAACTAAAACTAACGTAGGGCGTTTATGGGCGAGACGGACGATCCCATTCTTTCCTTTTCCTCGAGGGGTAAAGTTTTAAAAATCAATTTCCCTGAATTCGCCGTTCACATTTGACCTTTTCATTCCTAAACCAATATCTACCACTCTACGAATTTTCCGTAATAAACAAGTAGGCCTAATACTCCATAACAATTATATGCAACGCAGAAATAGCTTTCTATAAAACATCAATATTGGTTAATAAATGAAGTATTGTATTGGTATCGACATGGACAATTTTTAGAAAACCCAAATCAATTTGTAGTAGAAACTATTTTTTTTAAACATCCCTAATTTGAATCCAATTATGTAAAATCATAAAATACAACAAATGAATCTAAGCATTCTAGTCTCTCGTTAAGAAACGAACATTAACCTGTCTTGAGAGAGGATCATACCTTTGTCAGTACATTTTCTATTAGTGTTATTAATTAAAATATATTGTTTTCCATGTGATAAGTTGTATAATTTGGGACATTTTCTGGGTCATAAAAATTAATTGAATCTGAATATGATATAAGTAGATTTGCTCACTAGTTACCGTATATTTGATGCCGATTCTTATAAACCTGGCAGCTTACTTGACAACATAAAGCATATTATAAAGGTAAAAACGCATTGTGATTGGAATCCAAGATAATAACTACAGTACCGTACATTATGAGTGCGACAAAGTGAAGGAGAAGGAAAAAGCGAATAATATGAATTGTAGACGATGACAGCCGGCGACAGACGTGTTACATTCTAGCGAATGACACTCAAAATTTGACTATAATATTGTAGGCATATTTCGCAAGGGGGAAATAAACGGGAGCTATTTTAATGTTTCCATAGACGCTATTATGCCTACGAGAGCGATTTAAACAGAACAGAAAGAGGTTTTATGTAATAAAAAGTATGTTTACCCGCAATGAGTATGGCGACAGGCATAAATATATCGTAAATTCGAGCATGCAAACACTAATTCCTATGACTGATTCAATTCGAAGTATAGAGATCATATTACATAGGACAAATTTCATGATATTTCGGCTGGGTTTGATAGAAAATTATATATAATAAAGCAACTACTCTATATAGTTAAGAACTATTTCGTAAACCATCTATAAAAAAACGACATCACTTACAGCCTTGTAAAATTAGGGAGCTTTCGATTTGTGCGACGAGGCAACGCTAGAACGGAATCACTCATGCGTGACCGTCCTACCTGCGTCCTACGTTCTTTGGATGCGTAGATTTGGCCAAATTGCGTTCCAGATTCTACTCGACGAGGTGACCTTAACGTTCTCGCATGCGCAGATGACTTTTAGTGACGTCATTACGTTCTACGTCCTACCGTCGTCGTACAATCGAAAGCTCCCTTTTATTAAACGAAATGTCAGTATATGCAGAATTTAAGACATATAACAGGCTTATGAGGAAAGATAACCTCAAAACTTAATATTTATAAAGCCCCGTCCAGACTATCACATTTTATTTGACAAAAAGTATGTGACATGCCTATATATGGACACAATAACATCAAATCATGACAATACAAGCACATCATAACTATAAATGAGCACAGTGTGAACAGAGCTAAGATACGATTGCATGAATATAAAGTCGAAGCTCTAACTGTCCCCTAGTTGCATTCTAAACATATTTGGAAATCAATTTATGATTTTGACAAGTCGACCTTATATTTAGGAGTGCAAGAATACTTTTTCATTTAAATACCTGTAGGCCTAGATGTATTTTTGTTGAGAAATTGTGATATTGGCGCCTGCAGAAAGGAGTTAAGAGTACGCCATCTAGCGAGGCGATAGTCATTTAGACTGATTTTGTCCCATCGGCTCTTTTCTCTCGTGAATATTGTATATGTATAATGTGTGTTGTTTGTCGGAATAATAAATAATCGGTGGTATAGCCTTTGTTAAATTGGCTAATTAATGACGCCATTCATTATCCTCTATTTTCTTCTGTACTATCACCTTGAGTTAGAAAAGTAGATGTTTCATTTCTATATAGCCGTAAGTCATAACTCTGTACAAACTCAATGTGCGATTCTTCAAAATTAAGTAGCTGATCAACAAAATAACGAAGACTAGAAGAAAAGAAGCGTATTCAAGAAATTATTTACTTAGCTATACTGATCAGAGGAAAAAACAACAAGCAATCAAGAAAATATATGCATAGGCCTACACTCAAAAACTGATACAAGGTATTAACAACAAGTTAAGCCAACTGTTGTACCAGCCGAAAAAACATACCAAATGCTGGATGGGTCACCTACTTGAAATATGGTATTTAAAAAATATATATAAAAAAAACTTAAAGATGTCATACTCAGTGGCGGCGCCCCCCCCCCCCATATTGGTCTGGTCAAAAACAGTCTCTAGAATTATTAATTAATATTATTTATAATAACCAACAATAAAACCAATAAACAAAACTCGTGAGCCAACTGTACTGCATGATAACAGGCCAACAGCAATATCCTATTTGGCCATGAAAAGCTGTTAGAGATCAATTTATCAATAACAGAAATGCCCATGATGACCGAGAAACGTTTGTCTATGCTGCTAGCATATTCATTACAGTAGCAATGATTTTTTTCTCACTGAATGTTTATACCCTTGTAAGATTAAGCATACATCGTTTATAGGCTTCGTATTCATTTAGTCAAGAAACTGAAAGATATTAAGCTTCACCATCTATCTGGATAAGCAACTTTCTTAATAACAAATCACATACAGTAAAAAATTATTGATGGCGTGTCAGAAGATTAACATGTACTTGGGCACTAACACGGATGCGTTTTATCACCGCTAGGCTACCAGTATACCCTTTAAAATAATATACAAATTAACTCAAATGCAATCGAATCATGTAATAGTGTGAAATTTTCTGATGACCTCGTGTTTGGCAGGTTTAAATAAGAAAAATAACTGAGAATATTACATATCGTATATTAAAGCAGATAGATTTGTAAGTCAGTAATTTTAACTATCTCGATGTTGAAACTAAAGAGCAAACTGAGTTTTAATAAAGACAACTGAAATTGGCATTAACTTACATTTACCAAGCTATAAAGTTATATTTCCCTTTGAAATTGACTGAGAATTATGTGGAACTGTTTTCATTTGTCTTGCATACAGATTGTTGGCTTGAACATGGAATTTATTGGAATTTGGAATTTGGGTACCTGACTTGTAAACTGATAATTATACATGAAGTATTTCTGTATTTTTTTTTTTGCTGTAATTTTACGGGTAAATGTTCTTTTCGGATGATCTGATCTTACGGCTGTAAAATTAAAAAAGGGAGAAATATCGACAATAACTTTAAAAAAAAAATGCATTTATTTGTTAATGTTTATTTGCGTCACTGATTTTTTTTTAATTTTTTTTTTATTTATTTATTTATTTTTATTTTATGATGTATTTTTGATAAATAGAAGTTGTGGTTACTCCACAAAAGAGAGAGAAAAAGAACTTTCGTATACGAAGTGAATGACAACCAATTACTCTTAATAATGATAATGCTATTAATATAAGAAAAGTATTGTTTAGATAGATGACGAACTGTGCTGAAAACGAGCACATGTAAATTATATGAAATGGCAAGTCGAAGTCTACATTTCCTAAGGAAATTAGGATATTTTAATGTTTGTGAGATTGTTCGTTCTTGTTTCATAAAAGTGTGATGCAATCTGTGATATCTTTTTTGTTGCAGAGTGTTAAAGGGCTTAACTGGAAGAAACTTAACTGTCACAAAATTTGCTAGTAATATTTCATTATCTAAAATAGATCACTATGCTATGCGATAAGCCCATGCTAAATAAGATTATTCAATAAAATGGATGGAAGCCATCCACTAAACCAAAATAATT